AGAAAGAGGAGGGGGAATCGTAATTTTAAATATCCAATTGCCTGAAATATTCATAGCCAATTTGGTAAAATGTTTGCAGCAGGTAGAGTAGGACCATTACTTGAGTTTAAAGAATGTGCTACTCCCTGAAAGGAGGCCAAATCAGACAGAGAAAGTGAGGAAGGGTGAGCCAGCAGAAGGGAGCGCGTTTGGTGCTTTCAAGGGCCTATTAAACGTAGAATTTTTCTTTGAATAAAAGATTAATATATACTCTATAAACAGAGAATCAGAAAGACAAGCCAATTAGACAGAGGAATTAATTTTGTTTACCTTTGTAGGATAGTACCGTACACATACACAGCCCCAGACCTGAGTTGAGTGTACACACTCCCTGTATCTATGCCGGCATGTCCTCTATATTTTGTATCCACACACACACTACTCCTAAACACTCTTATCTGTTTAGCCAGCCAATTAACGTTAAACCAATGTTTGGACATAGTGCGCGTCTCCTATAAACATGAGTAATGTATTTGCCGTAAAAATAATGATTAGAATGAATTAATCTATCTGATATGTGTATTATATGGATTTAAATATGTTGTTTTAAGAGATTCTCATAACCCTAGATGCCACAGTTAAAAACAAACACCAGCACGCACCGTTTTGCAATCTCTTAAACAAATAAAATCGCTTTGATTTAAATAACATTTATTTTACATGACCAAACACAATAAATAACGTAATATACAAAGCTTTATAATTATTGCACATTTGTAAAATATCTTACAGTGAGTTCATACAGCCAGCAATATTTAAAGCACGAAGACTTTATTTACAGTTTTTATTTTAATATAATAACCAGATCCAATGGACCTAACATAACACGAATTTATGTTAATTTTTTCAACCATCCTTCTCATCGGTCATATATATTTGGGGGGGGAATGTAAACATTATCACCTAAAGTACCTTATATACATCTAATAGCTGATCATAAGAAAGGACTTTAACAATCTACAAAGGTAAAGCTGATAAAGGGTACCATAATTTGGTTTATTTTATTTAGCCTTAAGTTATATATTAATATTTTAATGTAAACTCAGAGCTGGTATAATCAATATTTAACATAAGTAGTCTCATCTCTTTAAAGAAAAAAGAAAAAAGTTGAGCTTTAGATCATTGCTATTTCATTGGGAAATTCTCTAATATTTTATGAGAATATTTTAATAGACCCCAGGAGGAAATGTTGTTTCCCCTTGAAATATTTTCCATTTGATGAAAATAATTTATCCTGGAAAGTGAATTCTTTTAAAGGTCTCCTGAAAGCCTAGTTTTAGGAAATGAATTTTTTAAATCCAGTGTCTTTAAAATAACAAAAATATGTCAGAACAGAAATTTGAAATAAATCACAGAAATTAGTGCCAATGGGTATATATGAATGTGTGTGTATCTCTTACATACGTATATGTTTAAGAGAACAGATATATATATGTATAGACATACATACATATACACACACACATACATGGATATGTAGGTAATCCGCCTACATTTTAATACACATACCCGCTTCACTGGGTCTAAACATGCACTAGCAAGTTATTTTAGGGCTTCAACTCTTCAGAAAAATCTCATTATGTGAGGAGCGAAGTGGCTCTGCGGGGAGCATTATGGAAATATCTGGACTTGATTTAATGAGGCTGTTCACATTGGTGGAATATCAACTTAACAGAGAAAAGTCTACCCAGGGCGTCCAAGTTACCAAAATGAAAATTGGCAATTGAGATGATAAGGACGTGGCTTTCTTCTGCGAAATCACTTCAGGTAACAGAGATAACATTAAATAACATACATTCTATGCACCAAGAACAATGTTTTATGTACCGAGTCTCTTATCCGTCTCTCCTAATGACTTCCCTTAGCGGGTTGTTAGTACTTGACAGCAGGTCTCCGTGCGGGGAACTTTTCTCCAATTCCACATTCAAAGGAGGTCCATCAGAGAGCATGATTGGCAATTTTCGTCATAATCTGCACATTATTAGCATCAAAATTGACGTGGCAGCTAACACTGGTGGGTTTTGATGTGCCTTTCTTCAAGTTCAAGGAAACCCCTCCAGTCGCCGGGTGGGCAGAGCGGGTCTCCGCCAGCCCGCGGCGGCTCTGCGGAGGCGAGGGCGCGGCGCACACGCGGGAGGAATGCGCCA